GGCTGCTGGGTGCCGGCTGGGCACCTCTCGGGCACGGGGGAAGCAGGACAGACCCTCCTGTGCAGTTCAGGTCCCTCCATGCTTTATTTGCCGTTATCAGTGAGGAAACGGGGGGCTTTGTGATTGTTCTTCTGACGGGTGGATGGTCGGGGCAAAATGACCGTTTGCTTGGCCCCGGGGCAGTTCCCCCGCCCCGTCGATTGCCGTCGCTCTTCTCTGTTTGGAGACAACGGGGCAAGATTTGCACCGCGGCGCTGCCCGGGGGGCTCTTCCCAGCACAGCAGGGGCTGCAGCAGCACCAGCTGCCCCCCTCCTGCCTCCCCCCAGCTCCCTCCGCACCTCACAAAACTTTTAGGGCAGATGCAGCCTCTTACTCCATACTTACTCAGTTTCTGGCGCAAGAGGGGGGCGTGCAAACTGGTCCTGGGGGAGCAGAGCTGCTGACCGGGGCCGGCTCGTCTTCAGTCGGCAGCTTCGGAAAGAGTTTATGTGGGCTGCCTGCTTTTTCCCTGCCTGAAGCTCTGAGCACAGGCCTGGAGAAGACGAACCAAAGCTGAAGCTGTAGTGTGTCTAGGTACCAGAGCCGGTACTGAGGGTGGCTTTACGCAGTGGGCCCTGCTTTGCCCTGTGGGTTGGATCGCCAGGCAAGCAAACGCGTAGAACTCCAGTGATTTGGATGGCATGAGGCTGCTCCAGCCCTTGCAGAATCTGCCCCGCTGCTTTTGAATGTGCTCTTGTTTCTTTTGAAAGACGAGGATTATGAATTCTGCAAGGTGACTTCCCTGTAACACCCTTTTCCAAAAAAATACCTCTCTCAACATGCCAAGAAATCCTTTGCTCTTTTATGGAACTTCGCCTAAAGTTTACTGACGTCTGTCCCTGAATTTCACATTGCTCATGGATTTCCCGTATCGGTTTTTTGAGAGGTACGCTGCAGTGCTGCAGAGACGCTCGCTCCCCCTCACCACGGTCTGTGACCTTGGCAGACCCCCCTGAAGTAAGGTTCTCAGTCTCAAGCGAAAGCAGTTCCTCGAGTTCGTGATTGCTGGTGACAACAGAACTGTGAGTGCCAGAGCTAACTGTAGGCAGCTGGAGCCCCGAGGGGCACAGAAGGCTCCGGCAGCCCTGAAGCGTGCACCTCTCTGGGGAAAGGGCTTGTAGAAGGCACCCATCACGTCCCCTCCTCCCCGTCGCCGCTCCCCGGGCCCCAGCAAAGCTGAGCCAAACCGAGCCGGCTCCACAAGCCGACGCTCTGCCTGGTGCTACCTGGCAGCCCCCACGTGCGGTTCGTGGCCCCACTTGTGCCTGTAATTTATCCGTTTGAAAAGAAACAGCTGTAGCCCTAATGGGAGAGGAATCGGACAGAAGGAGGAACACGCGCTGTGGGAGAGGCGGAGAACAGTTTCACAGGCACGAGGCGTGCTGTGAAGGCTGGGAAATGCCGAAAACCGCTGGTGGGGACGCTCCCCCCTGCGTTCGGTGAGTTGCGTTTCAACAGAGTTCAAATCTTGAGGTTTTCTTTGGAAGAGGGGAAGCACAGTGTGCTTAGCCCGGTCCGTAGCCAGCTCTGGGTGTCTTGGGTGCCACGTATTTTGCGGTGCAGCATTTCTGTCTGACGATGCTTCAGTAGCACTTTGAAACCCACCCCCAGTTCTTCCCTTAGAAGCTTTTGGTCTGGTTTCCTCCTGCCGCGCAGTGAAATACTGGCTGGTGCAGCGACTTGCTTCGAGGGTCTGTTCCTGGTTTTGCTTTTTTTCCCTGAGAAGTTGCTTGATTCTATAGACGTCATCGTTCGCATGGGTGTTGATCTCCGTGAGATCTTTCAGCAGAAGATGCAGTGGCTACTGTCACCTGGGTTTTTCATTTTTGGTGGTTGCTTTTTATTTTACTTGAAACTGTGACTTTCCTTTTTGACCTACGCTGATTTGTAGAATTATTCGTATGGGGTTAACAGGCAGGCAGGGCAGCGTGGAGCTTCAGGGAGAGAGATGCAGTGTGTTGGACTCGCCTTTCCCTGCGCCAGCCCACTGGAACGGCAGCGGGGCCCAGAGCCCAGGTCTGGCACAAGGTTTGCCAGCAGCTCCTGTGTGCTCTGGGCCGTGTTCAACAGCACTCCTCACGACTGGTTGTAAAAACCTGCTGCAGCATCCATAAT